CGCGCCCTTGTGGATCTCGTTGCGGCAGTTGTCGATGCCCTTGTCCGTGCCGCACTCGCCGTCGGACTCGCACAGGTCGCCGACCGCGAGGCCCGGCGTGTCGCAGTTGACGAGGTCGAGCTCCTCGGGGCAGTCGGCCGAGTCCTTGGCGAGCCCCTCGAGCACGGGGCAGCCGTCGTAGCCGCCGGACGACGGCGGGTTCGGCGCCGGCGCGGGCGCGGGCGCCGGGTCCGACCCGCTCGCGAGGGCGGTGACGCGGTAGATGTCCGCGCCCTTGTGGATCTCGTTCTTGCAGTTGTCGATGCCCTTGTCCGTGCCGCACTCGCCGTCGGACTCGCACAGGTCGCCGACCGCGAGGCCCGGCGTGTCGCAGTTGACGAGGTCGAGCTCCTCGGGGCAGTCGGCCGAGTCCTTGGCGAGCCCCTCGAGCACGGGGCAGCCGTCGAAGCCGCCCGACGAGCCGGACGGCGGGTTCGGCGCCGGCGCAGGCGCCGGGTCGGGCCCCGGCGCGGGCGCGGTCGACGTGGACACGACGCGGTAGATGTCCGCGCCCTTGTGGATCTCGTTCTTGCAGTTGTCCACGCCCTTGTCCGTGCCGCACTCGCCGTCGGCCTCGCACAAGTCGCCGGCGACGAGGCCCGGCGTGTCGCAGTTGACGAGGTCGAGCTCCTCCGGGCAGTCGGCCGAGTCCTTGGGCAGCGCCTCGAGCACCGGGCACCCGTCCACGAGCTCCGAGTCCATGATGACGCGGTAGATGTCCGCGCCGTTGTGGATTTCGTTCGCGCAATTGTCGACGCCCTTGTCCGTGCCGCACTCGCCTGCGAGCGCGGAACGGTCCCCGCGCGCGCGCCGCGCGGATCGCTCGCGCGCGGAATCATCCCGACGAATTCGGACGCGGGGCGCGCGCCGTCGGCCTCGCAGAGGTCGAGGTGCTTGAGCGAGGGGTCGTCGCAGGTGACGCGGTCGAGCTCCTCGGGGCACTCGTCCGCGGAAACGGCGACGAAAGAGCGACCGGCGCAGGTGGGGTCGTCCGAGAGCTTGCGGGTCAGGCCGCTCAGGCGCGGGAGGCGGGGACGGCGGACGCCCTCGGCGAGGGCCGCGAGGAGGAGGACCGCGTGTGCGTGGCGACGCATGATTTGTGCGATTGCGTGCGAGTTGTACCCGCCGACGGATGCCGCGGATTCACGGAGGCCGCCGGCCGCCCGCGAAGCCTCCGCGACGCCTCCCGCGCGCAGCTCCAACGCGCCGCTACGAGTCCAAATCTGGCTCTCGCAGGAATACACGTCCCTCGGACTGGGGCAGAAATCGGGAGATCGCCAAGCGCGAGCTCCAGATCTTCAGTGCCGCGGCGGCCGCCGCGCTTTCGCCGCGGCCGCGGCGGCCGCGGCGATTTGGACGAGGTCGGCGGTCCCCATGGTCGTCCTGAGCTCCGCCGGACGGAAGGCCTCGCAACGACCCGGAGCCAACGCCCCAGGCACATCGCGCGCCAGGAGCTCGGATCGCACCGACGCACGCCGCGGCGCTCGGGAGCTGCAGCGAGCCGACGCCTGAGCCGAAGCGAGCGTACGTTGCGCAAAGCTCCAAACTCAAGCTCCTCCTAAAAACAAGCGATTGACTGCGACGAGATGATGCCCTCTGCGCTGCTGAGTTTTCGGTAGGCCGAGACGCAGACGAGTGATACGATGCCCTTCTCCCTTAGCTCACTGAACGCAGCGCGCGGCGTCGAAGCGTTCGAGCGCGCGCGCGCTGGGCTACGCCGGACGCGATTTTGGCCTTGAAGTGGCCCTCTCGCCGGGCAGCGCGCGCGCGCGCTGGGCGGCGGCGGGATGCAGGGGGCGCGGCGCGACGACGCCCTGTCCGCGACCGCAATCCGACGCGCAGGCGAACGCGGCGTCGTGGACGCCGTCCTTCGGGGTCCCGGAGACGCCCGCGGCGACGCCCGCGGCCGCGGCGCCCGCCGCGCCCGCGGCCGAGGAGGACGAGTGGGAGCGCGCGCGCCGCCGGCGCCGCATCGCCGCCGCTCGTCGCCTGCTTACCCCGCGCCTCGCAGGTCGACGTGTCCGAGGGCCTCAAGGAGAAGGAGGCCGCGGTCGAGGAGGCGGCCGCGGCGCCCGCGGCGGAGGCGCCCGCGGCGGAGGCGCCCGCGGCGGAGGCGCCCGCGGCGGAGGCGCCCGCGGCGGCGCCCGCCGCCGAGAGCGCGGGCGCGTCGTCGAGCGTCTTCGCGGAGAAGGAGGACGCCTGGGGCGACGACGACGACGACGAGGAGGAGGCCGCGGCGGCGGCGCCCGCGGCGCCCGCGGAGCCCGCGGAGCCCGCGGCGGCGCCCGCGGCGGAGCCCGCGGCGGCGGAGCCCGTGGCCGGGGGCCTGCGGCCGGGCATGTCGCGGCGGAAGCTCGGCCCGCGCTACGGCGCCGACGAGCTCGGCGGCGCGCGGGGCGGGTCCGGCGAATTGGGCGACGAGCCGCGGAAGAAGCTCGGCGCGTTCGCGGGGCAGAAGTACGAGGCGGACGCGAAGAAGGCCGAGCCCCGGCGCGACTACGCGCCTTCAGCGGTCGGCCCGGGGCTTCCCCCAGCGCGGCGGCGGCGGGTCGTCGGGGAGCCTCCGCGCGCTCGACGGCCGCCGGAGCCCGCCGCCCGAGGGCGGCGGCGGCGCCCGCGAGCGGTCGCCGCCGCGGCCGAAGAAGGCGCCGCCCAAGGAGTACAGCAAGCCCGCCTGGGCCAAGGTCGGCGACGAGACGAGCGACAAGAAGACGCTGAAGCAGGCGACGTCGATCCTCAACAAGCTCACGCTCGAGAAGTTCGAGCGGCTCTCGGCCGAGTTCTGCGCGCTGCCCTTCGACTCCGTGGCGCTGGTCAAGGGCGCCATCGACCTCATCGTCGACAAGGCCCAGCACGAGACCCACTTCGTGGGCATCTACGCCGAGCTCTGCGTGAAGCTCTCGGAGACGCCGATGACGGGGTTGGGCGAGGTCGAGAAGGGCAAGAAGTTCCGGCGCATGCTTTTAGAGCGCTGCCAGGCCGAGTTCGAGATGGACCACAGTGCGGTCCAGGCGGAGCTCGAGGCGCTGGAGCCCGGCCCGCGGAAGTTACGGATCGCGGAGATCCGCAAGCTCTACATCGGCCACATGTTCTTCATCGGCGCGTTGTACAAGCACGAGATGCTCAAGGAGTCGATCATGCACCACTGCGTCCAGGAGCTCTTCGGCGACCCCGACGAGCCCGACGGCGAGAAGATCGAGTGTTTGGCGAAGCTCATGGCGACGATCGGCAAGCAGCTGGACGCCGCGGCGCTCGAGAAGAAGGAGTCGATGAAGTTCATGAAGGCCTACTTCAAGCAGCTCAAGAAGCTCGCCGTGAACCAGAAGCTCGAGAGCCGCATCCGCTTCATGGTCAAGGATTTGTGCGAGCTCCGCGACGACCTCTGGAAGCCGCGGCGCGCGGTCGAGACGGCGAAGACGATCGCGGAGATCCACGACGACATCCAGCGCGAGGCCGACATCAAGGCGGGCCTCAAGCCCCGCTCCAAGGTGAACCGCGAGAAGGCCGGCGTTTCCGAGAAGACGGACGACGGCTGGGAGACCGTGCCGACGGCCGGCGGCCGCCGCGTCATGGTCGTCGAGGAGAAGAAGCCGAAGAAGAGCTCTTCCAAGGAGGCGGCCGCGCCCAAGGGCGGGTCCATGGGCTCCTTCGGCGGCTTCGCGTCCCTCACGTCGGAGAAGAAGAAGAAGAAGAAGGACAAGGGCGACAAGGACGAGAAGAAGAAGAAGAAGAAGTCGTCGAAGGACAACTTGAAGGAGCTCGCGGACGACGAGGCCGCCGGTGCCGCGGCGCCCGAGGCGACCTTCGACGAGGGCGCCTACAAGGCCAAGTGCAAGGCCGCCGTCGCCGAGTACATGTCCATCGAGTCCGTCGAGGAGGTCGTCGCGTGCGCGACGGACGAGCTCTCGGCGCTCGGGGGGACGGAGAAGCTCGCGCTCCTCGTGGCCGTCGCGCTCGACGTCGTCCTCGAGGGCAAGGCCGGGGACCGCGCGCGCGTCGCGCCGCTCCTCGTGGCCCTCGCGGACGCCAAGGTCCTCGCCGCGGCCCACTTCGCCGCGGCGTTCCTCGAGCTCCTCGAGTTCCTCCCGGACCTCGTCATCGACACGCCCAAGGCGTCGGAGTGGCTCGGCGACGTCCTCAAGGCGCTCGTCGCCGGCGGCCACGCGGACCCGGCCTTCCTCGACACCGCGCCGGCGGCCGTCGCGGAGCAGGGCGAGGACGCGCTCAAGACGTGGGACGCGTTCAAGGCCTACGTCGCGTCGGCCTAGGCCGCGCCCGCGCGCCGCGGCGACCACCACCACGACACCTCCCTCTTCCCCCCGACGCTCTCCCGGACCTAACCTCTATTCTCGCGACCGTATTCGGCCTGGCGACCGCCGGGACTCCTCCGGATTCCCGCCGGCGCCTCCGGACGTCCTCCCCCGGGCCTCGCTCGGAGCGGCTCGCGCCCTACGGCTACCCTCGCGCGGGCGGCTCGGCGGACGCGCCGGCGACCTCGACGGCCGTCGCGACGAGGGGCTCCCGGGGCGCGGGCCGCCGCCGGTCGAAGAGCGTCGAGAAGCGGCTCCGGCGCCGCGGCGGCTTCGCGTCGCCCGCGTCGCGGACGACGGCCAGGGGCTCCGCGAAGCGCGCCTCGGCCTGGACCGCGAGGCCCTCGGGCGCGAGGGCGCAGCGCTGGGGCCCGTCGAGGGCGGCGACGGTGCGCGCGTAGCGCTCGCGGACCTCCGCCCCCGTCAGGATTTGCCCGCAGGCGTCCTGCACGGCGCGCGCGACGCGGCCCCAGTGGACGCGCGCGCGCTCGCGCTCCGCGGCGGCGAGGGCCGCGGTCACGGCGGCGAGGAGCACGGCGTCGTCGGAGGCGTCCCAGGGCCGCCGCGGCGGCGGCGGCGGCGGCGACAGCTCCCGGTGGAGCATGGGGGTCGGCGCCGTCTCCATGATGCGCTCGAAGCGCGCCTGGCGCCGCGAGTCCCGGTCCGGCCGCCGCGCCGGCTCCCGCCGCCGCCGCGCCTCCTGGGCCCGCAGGATCGACAGGCGCCGGGCGACGACGATGGCCACGGCCATGCTGGCAGCAGTAGTTGAGTATTCTAAAAACGCAGCTGTTGAAGAGATGTTGAAGAAGAACAATAGGTCAAGCATGGACGATGGATGGGGTGGAGAGGGCGCCTTTCTCGACGAGACGCGGGCGTGGTACGGCTCCGGCGAGGGCCGCGACATCGATGAAGTCATTCAATTCCGCGGCCACCTTGACGGCCCGCGCCTTCTTCTTGCCGTATGCAAGGGATGGTGTTCCGCCGCGCGATGGCTGCTGGCCCACGGTGCGAATGTGGAAGCGAGGGCAGGACAATATAGATATACACCTCTACACCTCGCCGCTAGTGGGGGCCAGTGCGACGCGGCGGCGGTCCTGCTCGACGCGGGGGCCGACGTGAATGCTCGTACTCTTCGCCAATCCACGTCGCTCCATTTTGCCGCCTCGTGCGCCAACCACGAAACGTGCAAGCTCCTCCTCAGCCGCGGCGCGTCACTCGACGCGCGTAATGACATCGACCAAGATCCCGAGACCTCCGCGCGAGTCAACAACATTCCGATCGCGACCGCGTTCCTCGCCGGCGTCCGCGCGGCCGGCGGCTGGTCCGCGTACGTCGCCGCGCCGCGAAACCAGCTCCTCGCCCTCCGCCGCGAGCTGCCGACGTGCTTTCGCACGGGCCCGTGCAGCGCGCCGCGCGCGCAAGCGCGGCTTTTCCTCGACAGGAAAATCCCCGACGATGTCTTCATCCACACGCTCACGTTCTGGCGCAGCGAGCGCGACGTCTGAGTCACGTCGACGAGTAAGGTTACTACAGCCCCAGCCCCTTGGCGGCGACGGGCCCCGCAGGCGCCGCGGGCGCGCGGGAGCCAAAGGCCGCGGAGAAGGAGAGCCCGCGCGCGGGCGGCGGCGGCGGCGGCGCCGTCGGCGCCTTCGGCGGCGCGCACCCGGCGAAGGCCCGCTCGAGCAGCGCGGACTGGGCCCAGTCGTGGGCGCCGCGGAGCTCGGACACGTCGGTCTCGTGCTGCTTCGACTCCGCGTCCAGAGCGACGAGTACCTCCTGCGCCGCGGCGAGCGCGTTCTTCTTCTCCACGAAGTCCTCGAAGGCCACGCCGAAGCGGTCGCCGAAATCCGCGAGGTCCTTCTTCTTCCCGCGGAGCCCCTCCGCGGACGCCTCCATGGCCCGGATGCCCGGCGCGTCCAGATCCGCGGGCGCCGCGGCGAGCGTGTAGTCCAGCGAGCTCAGCAGGTTGTCGCTGTAGAGCGCCACGAGGTACTCGCCCGGCTCGGTGAAGGGCGGCTCCGCCGCGGACCGCTCCTCGAGCGTGTCCAGCGCCGCGCAGACGGGCGGCAGGTGCTCCTCGCCCGCCGTCGGGAAGGGCATGCCGACGAGGAGCGTGGGCACGGGCAGCACGAAGAGGCGGCACTTGGACGCCGCGCCGCGGCTCCGGTCCGCCTTCTCGGGGAAGAGGCTCTCGGCCATGCGCCGCACCGCGCCGCGGCCGTCGAAGACGATCAGGCGGAACTTGTCGTTGCGCCGCTTCGACTTGGCCGCGAGCAGCAGGCCCGCCGCCGCCGTCCGCGCGTCCACGGCGACTCTATAGAACGCCGCGCTGCCGAGCTTCACGGTCCCGCCGTGCGCGACGCCGAAGTCGAGCAGCGGCAGCGCGGCGCGCGCGGCCGCGTCCTCGGCGAGGACCGCCGCCTGGGACAGCACGTCGGCGGAGATGGACGTCGGGATGGGCACGCCGAGCTTCGACACCTGCGCGAGCAGGAACCGCGTGGCCCAGTTCGCGTTTTTGACGTCCACGGTCTCGAAGGCGTTCGTGTCCTTGGCGTCGCCCGCGTCGCCGTGCAGGTCGTACTGGTGCCGCCGGTTCGGGTCGCTGAGCACGGCGTAGGCGTCGGCGATGGCCTTGAATTTCTCCGCGGCCGCCTCCTGGCCGTCGCCGCGGTTGCGATCCGGGTGGAACTTGAGAGCCATCTTCTTGTACTTCTTCGTGATGGTGTGCTGGTCGTCCGACTTCTCCGCGCCGAGCAGCGCGTAGAGGTCGACCTTGGGCTCGGGCGCGGCCGGCTCCGTCATGGTTCGGGTGTCGCGCGCGCGCGGCGGAGACGGCGCCGCCAGAGAGGCTGCCAGAACTTGCCAGACTCGGAGGCTGCGGCACCTTGAGCAGCAAGATCACTGCAACAATACAAAGTATCCCCGATTCCTCACGCCCGCGCGTCCACGAGCCGCCGCGCCGGCGCCGGCGGCGTCCGCGCCGGGTACGTGTCGAGGCAGAGCACGAGGCCGTCGAGGAGCGTCGCGTCGATCTCGCGCGCGCAGCGGCCGTCGTCGTCGTGCCGGAGCGCGGCGCGCAGGGCCGACGCGGCCGCGGCGGGGCGGCGCAGGGCGAGCAGCGCCGCCCCGGCGATGTAGTGGGGCTTCGCGTAGGTCGGCGCCAGCGCGGCGGCCTCGGCCGCGTCGCGCCGCGCGACGTCGAAGTCGCCGCGGCGCGCGCGGCAGCCCGCGCGCTGCGTGAGCGCGCGGGCCAGATCCGCCACGCGGGAGACGCGCGGCGACGCGAAGGCGCCGACGATGCGGAGCAGCTCGTCGGGCAGCCCCCGCGCGGGCGACGCGCGGCCGAGGCGCGGGTGCCGCGCCGCGCAGAGCCACAAGAGGCCGTCGCGCGCGTCGCCGACCTCGGCGCGGCCGGCGGCGATCTCGGCGTCGTAGGCCGCGAGGGCGCGCCGCTCCGCGGCGTCGTCCTCGCCGGCGGCGGGCAGGGACGACGCGGCGGCGCCCATCGCTGTGTTCTTTTGGTGCGCTTTTTGGGGCAGCTTACGCAGCGCCGGTGGCTGGCAGCCCCAAACGGCTCGAGCACACGATCCGCGGCACGAAACCGGGGCAGCGCCTCCGGGAATGCGGGTCGGGGCGAGGGTTACGAGGCCCCGCGTAGCACCACGCACAATAGGCAACGTATCCATCGACGATTCAAGGCTCTTGAAACCACCCCTCGATCGCCGACGGCCGCGAGATCTCGAAAGAAGGCCGAACTTCCATGCCCTTTCGCCGCGGGTGGCCGACGCACCCCCAAAAGACACGTCCGAACACCACGCACGCGCGCGCCGCCCGCGAGAGCTACACACACTAAGACGGGCGCCTCAGCGCGCGGCGCCGTCGCCGTCCCCCGCGTCCCCGAGGAAGAGGCCGAGGGACGCGTTGGCCGCGCGGAAGAGGAGGCCGTGGCCGGCGTCGTTGGGGAGCGCGTCGCCGGCGCTCGTGCCGTTCCGCCAGGTGCCGTCGGCCGCCGCCGTCGCGTTCCAAAAGTCGAGGACCGGGTACGCGGACGCCGCCAACGCCGCGTTCACTCGGACCAGTTCCGCGAGGTGGTCCGGCGTCGCGCGGCCGTCGGGCAGCGCGTTCGCGACGGCGACGACGCCGGCGACGCCCGCCGCCGCCGCGTCCGCGTCCGCGAGGACCTGGTCGAGGAACGCGTCGGCGACGGCGGCCGCGTCCGCGGCGTCGTCCGCGGAGAAGAAGCCGTCGTCGCCGGGGCTCAGCGCGACGACGGCGCAGGACGCGTTCCGCGACGCGACGCCGCCGAAGGCGGACTCGATGGTCGCGAGCGCCGCCGCGGACGTCGCGCCTGTGTGGGAAACGACCAGTGGAACGCCCCGTCCAGCAAAAACGTCAAACCTCTCGAGCTCGGTCGCATCGACGTCGATTCGGCTGATTTTTGGACGAATCGATTGCTCTCATTGAGTTCTCGAAGCAGCAAAGAAGAGCGCTCGTCGAAGCTGTCGCTCAAGTTGAAGTCGCGTTGCATATTTTTTGTTTCCCGCCCGGCGTCGCGCCGGGCGCGCCGTGGTTCCGCGTGTCGACGCCGAAGCGGATGAGCGACGCCGCGAAGCGGTCGACCCAGGCGCCGCTCGCCGCCGACGCGCCGGACCCGAACGCCGCGTCGGAGCCGAAGACGTGGAGCGTCTCGCAGCGCACGGTTCGCCGCTCGGAGCTCCGGCCGACGAGGTCCGCGGCGCCGCCGCCGTTCTCGCGGTTGATGGTCGTGAAGAGCAGGACGACGGTCGTGTTGAGCACGGCGAGGAGGATGGTGACCAGGAGCACCCGCCGCAGGGCCTTGCGCTCGATGGACTTGGAGTCCGACGCCGCGTCCTCCTTCATCTCCTCCTGCGACTCGTCGACGTACTTCTCCGCGCCCATGGCTTTGCGCGCGAGCGATAGGAGTGCTTCAACCACTACGCGCCGCGACCGGCCCAGGCCGGCCGCCGCAGGGGCCCCGCGGCTCGCCCCAGGCGGGGCGCCGCTTCTCCGACGGGCCGCGCCGCCGCTGGCTGCCCCAATGCACCCAAAACCCCCAAGCATATCGCGAGATACGTCGCAGGTGTTGCAGCAGGCGATGCAATTGCTTCTGCCACTGCCGCAAGCACTTCCGCGAGACCAAACCATGGGCGGCGGCGCCGCCGCACCGCCGGCGTCGGGCATGGACTTTGCGAAGAACCTCGTGCTCGGCGGCACGTCCGGCTGCCTCGCGAAGACGCTCTGCGCGCCGCTGGAGCGCGTGAAAATAGTGCTGCAGACGGCCAAGGGCGGCGCGGGCGCGGGCATGGTGGGCACGGCGCGGTCCATCGTCAACGACCAGGGCGCCCGGGCCCTCTGGCGCGGGAACCTGACGAACTGCGCGCGCTACTTCCCGACGCAGGCCATCAACTTCGCCTGCAAGGAGCGCTACCAGAAGGCGCTCGTGCCCGACAAGGCGACGGCGGGCTTCGCCGCGTGGTTCGCGGGCTACCTCGCGGCCGGCGGCGCCGCGGGCGCGACGAGCCTCACGGTCGTCTACCCGCTGGAATTCTCCTACACGCGCCTCGCGGCGGACGTGGGCAAGGTCAAGCAGTTCCCGGGCGGGTTGCCCGACGTGATCTCGACCATCGCGAAGAAGGACGGCGTCTCCGGCCTCTACCGCGGCTACCCGACGTCCGTCGCGGGCATCATCGTCTACCGCGCGGGCTACTTTGGCTTCTACGACGCGGGCAAGCAGGTCTTCTTCGCCGACGGCGGCGCGAACACGTCGATCTTCCTGAAATTCGGGCTCGCGATGGCCGTCGACATCTCCGCGGCGTGCTTCGCGTACCCCATCGACACCGTGCGCCGCCGCCTCATGATGCAGAGCGGCTCGGGCGCCGACATGCAGTTCAACTCCGCGTCGTCGGCCGTGAAGCACATCTACAAGCGCGAGGGCGCGGCCGGCTTCTTCCGCGGCTGCATGGCCAACAACGTCCGCGCGATCGCGTCGGCCCTCGTCCTCGTCCTCTACGACGAGGCCAAGAAGCTCACGGCCTAGGGGCGCGAGCCCCCCGAGTAGCAACACACCGCCAGCTGCAGTGGCGCTTCTCTTCTCACGGATATTAGACGGCGGGGCGGACGGAGCGGCGGTTCGCTTCGGGCTACGCGGCGACGCGGCGGGCCGCCTCCGGGGGCCGCTCGTCGTCGGCGTCCTCGGGCGTGTCGTCGGACGAGTCCCGGCTCTTCCACGCCTGGAGGCGCCGGCCGCCGCCGCCCGGGCTCTTGCGCGCGGCGGGCGGCTCCCCGGCGGCCAGTGCCGCGGCCCGGGGCTCCGGCGGCGCCAGGCCGCCGGCGCGGAGCGCCTCGCGGAGCTCCGCGACGTACTGCATGAGGTCGCGCTCGCGCGCCTCGGCGTTCCGGAGGTCGCGGAGCGCGGCCGCGCCGCCGCCCGCCGCGCAGTCCGCCGCCGCGTCGACGACGGTCTCGACGATGCGCGCGCAGAGCTGCGCGTGGGCGTCGTCGGCGCCCGGCGCCGGCTTGGAGGGCAGGTCCGCGTCCGAGGAACTCGAGTCGGAGCTCGTGAGCTGGTTCACGGCCCGGTCGCGGCGCTCGCCGGCCGCGTCCCCCGAGCACTGGCGCAGCTCATCCCGTAAGGCCGCGTTCTCGAGGACGAGGCGCTTGATGGCCGCGTCGCCGCGCTTCTGCGCCGCGTTTAAAGCGCCGCGCGCCAATTGCTCGAGGCCTTCGGACTTGACGACCTCCTTGAGCGCGTGGGCCGTGGCGTCGGCGACGGCCTGGGCGCAGGACGCCTGGACGCGCTCCATCTCCCGCTCGTGGCTCACGGACTGGTGCTTGACGGCCGCCAGCAGCTGCTGCGTCTTCCGGCCGAGCGCGTCCTTGGCCTCCTGGCGCACGCGGCTCACCGCGGCCCGCTCGAACTCGCGGCAGAGCGCCGCGTGGGCCTCCTCGAGCTCGTGGTGCTCGGGGATACTCGCCGGCGGGTCCTCGCCGTCCGACGGCGGCGGCATGCGCCGCTTGAGCGCCGCGAGCTCGCGCCGCGTGTCGCGGCGGAACGCCTCGAGGTCCTCGCGCGTCTTCGCCGCGTCGGCGCAGCCCCCGGCGGCGGCGAGCCGCGCCTCGGCGGCGTCGGCGCGCGCCTCGGACGCCGCGAGCTGCGCCGCGAGCGCCTCGCGGTCGTCGCCCCGGAGGAACCGGTCGACCAAAGCTTCGGCCTCCGCCGAGCCCCGCGCGCGGTCCGCGACGCTCTGGAGGAACTTCTGGAGCGCCACGAGCCGCGCGGCCTCGCCCTCCGCCGACGCCGCGCGCCCGACGAGCGCCGTACCTGTGGCCGCGCGGGACGTTCGACGCCGGGGGTTTCGGGGGGGGGGGGGGGGCGCTTCGGCCGCCGCGCGCGGAATTTTCGGACCCCCCGCGCGCACCGGGGAAGGGCACCCCGTTCACGGGGCCAAGGGCCTGGGCCTCGGCGTGGAAGGACCCCCGCGCATCGTAGCGCACGGCCGCGCACCACGACGCGGAACCTTTGTCGACCCCCACGACGTAGGACGTCCCTTCCCCCCCCTTGAGTTGGTGCGCGCGCGCGACCCCCACGGTGTAGGCCGTCCACGCGTGATCAACTCGAACGCACGATGCGTTCCCCCTTACGTCGAGGCACTGCAACTTCATCTCTGAAGTTGAAGTCAATTTCATAAAGTTGAACTTTATCACGATAGGTTGCCCGGCCCATCCTCCGGAGCTCCCCGGCTCGCTGCTCGGCGGGAACTGCCGTGCGATATGTGCATCTGATCAGCCACCGCGCCGCGAGCTGTACCCCAGGAGGCCGCGAGAGGCCCGGCGCGCGCCGCCGGAGCGACACCCAAGCGACGCCGCACGAAAGAAAACCATGTCGCCGGACGGTACGCTGCGGGAGAAGCGCGTCTGCGTCGCCGTGCGCTGCCGGCCGCTGTCGGCCCGCGAGCTCGGCGCCGGGAGCGGCAAGATCGTGAGCCTGGAGCAGTTCAAGAAGGTCGTCGTGTCCGACCCCGTCGAGGCGGCGCACCGCGAGGGCCCCGGCTGGGCGCGCGCGTTCGCGTTCGACGCCGTGTTCGGCGACGACGCGGCGCTCGGGAGGGAGCGGCAGCAGGAGGACGTCTACCGGGGCCTGGGCGTGCCCCTGTTGGCCCACGCCTGGCGGGGCTACAACGCGTCGATCTTCGCCTACGGCCAGACGGGCTCCGGCAAGACGTTCAGCATGCTCGGCGGCGCCGCGCCGACCTCCTCTTTACGCGACGGCGGCGACCGGGGCCTCATCCCGCGCGTCTGCTGCGGCCTCTTCGACGCCGCCGACGCCCACGCGAAGAGCCACGACATCGCCATCGAGGCGTCCTACATGGAGATCTACAACGAGACCGTGCGCGATCTGCTGCTCCCGACGGGCAAAGCTCTACGGGTCCGCGAGCACCCGCGCGACGGCGCGTGCGTGCCAGGGCAGCAAAAGGGTGATTCAACGTCGCTTCAATGTGAGTGTTCCACGCGCGCGCGTTCCGGAAAAATCATCCACGCTTAGAGAGCGCTCCGAGAGATGATCGCTCGTCCAAAAATCAGCCGAAACGAGCGGAAAAGGACCGAGATAGGAGCCTTTGAAGTTGGGAATTTCGCACCCTTTTCCTGCCCAGGTGCGTGCCGGACCTGACGGTCGTGCGCGTGGCGAACCGCGAGGAGCTCGTGGCCCTGCTCCAGGTCGGCTCCAAGAGCCGCGCGACGGCCGCGACGCGGGGGAACGCGCGGAGCTCGCGGTCGCACGCGGTCTTCACGCTGGCGCTCTCGCGGCGGAAGCGCGGCGGCGACGTCGACACCGACGACGGCGGCGCCTTCGCCGCCGACGCCTGGTGGCGCGACGTCGACCTCGACGCGTCGTCGTCGCGCGCGACGATCCGCCTCGTGGACCTCGCGGGCAGCGAGCGCGTCGCCGTCACGGGCGGCGCGGGAAACGGGCGCGACGCGCCCAACTTCAAAGGCTCCGATCTCGATCTCGGCCGCTTTCCACTCGTTTCGGCTGATTTTTGGACGAGCGATCATCCCACGGAGCGCTCTCGACGCGTGGATGCTTGTTCCGGAACGCGCGCGCGCGGAACACCCACGTTGAAGCGACGTCGCATCGCCCAGGTCACGGGCACGGACGGCGCGCGGCTCCGCGAGGCCAAGTCCATCAACCGGTCCCTGGCGACGCTCTGCGACGTCATCGAAGCGCTGGCGGCGAACTCGCGGTCCACGAACGGCGCGCCGGCGAAGCCGCGCTTCGTGCCCTACCGCAACTCCGCGCTCACGTGGCTGTTGAAGGACTCGTTGGGCGGCAACGCGTTCGCGACGATGCTCGCGACGGTGAGCCCGTCCGAGGACCACTACGAGGAGACGCTGGCGACGCTCAAGTACGCCGCGCGCGCGCGCAAGGTCCGGTCCAAGGCGTCCGTGAACGCCGTCGAGGACCTGCCGAGCGAGTCGGACGTCGAGTCGTCGGTCGCCGCGACGCCGCCGCTCCTCGCGGCGCCCCTGGCGCGCAAGGGCGCCGCCGAGGACCCGGAGGACTCCGTGCTGTCGACGTCGACGGGCGCGCCGCGCTGGCCGCGGCTCACGAACCTGAACCCGGACCCGGCCTTCGCGGGCCGCGGCTCGCTGGGGGTCCACGAGGGCGCGACGGTGCTCGGGTCGTCGGCGGAGGCGGGCGTCGCGCTCCTCGCCGGCTCCGGCGTCCGCCCGCGCCACGCCGTCGTCTGCTCCTCCGCGGCGAACGACGTCGTCGTGCTCTGCGCGCTCCCGGGCGCGGAGACGCACGTCGACGGGCGGCTCGTGCTCGCGGAGCCCGCGGAGGGCGACGCGTCCGTCGCCGTCGCGACGGTGCTCAAGCACGGGTCGCGCGTCGTCTTCGCGCGGACGCTGGCCTTCCGCTTCGAGGCCTACCCGGACGACGATTTGGCGCGGCGCGACGCGACGGCCGAGTGGCACGCCGCGCAGGACGAGGTGACGCAGGCGTCGTCGCGCGCGCCGAGCCCGCCGCCGTGGCGGTCGCCGTCGCCGCCCGCGTGGCGCGAGCGGCCGCCGGCGCCGCCGTCCGACGACTCGTCGGACTCCGAGGACATGGAGCCCCTGTCGCCGCCGCCGCCGGAGCGGCCGCCGCTCGACCTGGCGCCGCGGCCGCGCTTCGAGCCCGTCTTCGAGCCCGCGCTCCAGGTCTTCGGCCGCCCGGACGACCACCTCGCGTCCATGAAGCGCAAGGTCGAGCTCGCCCAGGCGCAGCTCGACGCGATCCTGGGCACCGCGCCGCCGCCCTCCAAGGCCGCGACGCTCGCGGGCGACGCGGTCCTCGGCCAGCCGCTCCGCGCCGCGGGCGCCGCGACCGCCGCGGCGACGGGCCTCGCGAACACGCTCGCGACGGGCGTCGCCGGCGCGCTGCCCACGTACTAAGCTGTGTTGGATCGCGCGGCTTACCGCCCCGGATCGCGGAGCAGGTCCCCGACGCGCGCCGCGTCGCCCGCGAGTCCCATGGCCCACGCCTCGAGGAGGTGCGCGAGGACGACGTCGACGACGCCGGCGTCGCGCGCCGCGAGCGCGGCGACCGCGGCGTCGCGCGCGCGCCGCGCGGCGTCCGCGGGCGCGCCCGGCGGCGGCGGCGGCGGCGGGCCGGCGTCGAGGGCGCCGTAGGCGGCCGCGAGGGGCGCGTAGCGCGACGCGTAGACGCGGCGCGCGAGGTCCGGGCCGAGCTCGGACCGGAGGTCCGCGCCGTCCGGCCGCGGCGCGGTGAGCACGTCCGCGGCGAGCGCGGCCGTGCGCGACGGGAAGAAGGCGTTGAGCGAGCAGGAGAGGTCCAGCGCCTCGCAGTGGTGGAACCAGAAGGCCGGGATCGCCAAAGCGTCGCCGGGCTCCAAGACGACGTCGAGCGCGGGCGCGTCCAGACCCGCGCCGAGCGCGTAGCCGCCGGCGGCCGGATCGTCGACGTCGAGCTGGGCCTTGCGCGCGCGCGGGTGGGCGTCGGGGAAGACGTGGAGGCACTCGTGCGCCGCCGGCGGCCAGAGCCGGACGCGCTTCCGCCCCGCGACCTGGGCAGGAAAAGAGAGATTCAACGTCGCTTCAACGTGGGCGTTCCGCGCGCGCGCGTTCCGGAAAAAGCATCCACGCTTCGAGACCGTTCCGAGAGATGATCGCTCGTCCAAAAGTCAGCCGAAACGAGTGGAAAACGGCCGAGATCGGAGCCTTTGCAGTTGGGAATTTCGCTCTCTTGTGCTGCCCTGGCGGCGACCTGCCCCAGGACGTTGTCCGCGACGTCGTAGTGGGCCTGCGTCGTCGAGCCGTAGCCGCCGACCCAGAGGGCCGTGGCGCGCGGGAGACTAGCCGCGTCGGGCACGGGCCACCAGGCGCCGTCGTCGCCGCGGTACGGCCCCGTCCAGTAGCGGCGCTCGCCCGACTTTCTTTGCGCCGCGCACGCGGCGACGAGGCCGGCGGCGTCGCAGTCCTCGAAGGCGACGCCGAACCGCGCCGCGCCGACGTCGCGCTTCGTCGCGTTCGCGTCGTCCTCGCTATAACTAAAAACACCGCCGGCGCCGGCCGTCGAGACCTTGGCCACGAGCGGCGCCGGCCCGAGGAGCGCGGCGACGCCGTCGGGCGCGACGCCGCGAAGCTTCGACCGCAACGTGCCGCAGTCCACGAGGCGAGGCGCGCGCATGCGACAAGCGTGTTTTAGGACTGGCAGGGCTGCTGGGCCGCGGCCATCGCGCCGATACAGGTGCAACGTGAGGCAATTGCTGCTCAATTTGGCGACTTTACCACAGCTCTCCCACGACGCTGCCGACGCCTGTTGCTAGCCCGCGCGCAGCCAGCACCAGGGGGGAGCGCGCGCTATGCCACCCCCGGAGTACGGGTCCCAGGCCTATTGGGACGAGCGCTACGTCGGCGAGGCGGCCTTCGAGTGGTACGTCGTCGACGGCGAGGCGTTGGCCTTCCAGGTGCAGCGCGTCCTCGAGCACATCGACGACGAGGACCACATCCGGCCGCCGAGCATCCTGCTGCGGAACGGCGCGCAGATCAAGCTCCAGCGCGACGAGTTCGACAGCGCGCACCTCCTGCTCGAGGCCGGCTGCGGCGCGTCGAGCCTGACCGCAGACCTCGTGCGCCTCGGCGCGATCCCCGTGCAGTGGCGCTGCGTGGCCTTCGACTACTCGGCGACGTGCGTCGCCGCGCGGCGCGCGGAGCCGTCGGTGTCGGGCCTGACCTACGAGCGCTGGGACGCGACGAAGCTGCCGCTCGGCGACGGCGGCGCGTCGGTGATTTTAGACAAGGCGTGCGTCGACGCCGTCGACTGCGCGTCCGACGGCGGCGGCGCGGCGCGCGCCGTGGCCCGCGAGTACGCCCGGGTCCTGCGGGTGGGCGGGGCGCTGCTGCTCGTGACCTGCCGCGACGCCGCGCGGCGCCTCGAGATCTTTCGGGGGTTGCCGCTGGACGTCGAGGCCTGCGAGCGGCTGCCCAAGCCCGCGGCGGAGGCCGGGCGGCCCCGTGGGGCCGTTTTTATGTTGCTGAGGAAGTATGCCGACCTCGGCGGCCTGCGGAGCTGCGAGCGCGCGGATCGCCCCGCGGAGCCGGCGCGCGACGTCGCGCTCTCGCCGCCGCCGCCGGCGCGCGTCGCCATGGACGACGTCGACGACGCGCTCCTGGGTTTGAATCCCTTCCTCGACAGCGACGACTCGGACGACGAGGGCTGGAAGGACGGCCTCTTCGACGACGACGACGCAGCCGCGGGCTACGGCGGCGACGCGCCGCCGGACGACACAGCCGCGGGCTACGGCGGCGACGCGCCGCCGGACGACGACGCGGAGTCGCCGCCGGAGAAGCCGCAGGGGCCCGTCGACGATGAACCGGCGCCGCCGCCGGGCGTCTCGCCCGTCGACGACGAACCGCCGCCGCCGAGGCGCCCGGCGCCGGCGCGGCGCGGCGCGGGCCTCGCGGCCGTCGCGGGCCTCGCGGCCGTCGCCGTCGCCGCGGCCGTCGCCGCGCGGCGCATGCGCGGGCGCGCGAGCTAAAATGTTACTGTGTTCCAGCGCGGGGCTCGGGCACGACTCCTCGGCGAACGACGCGGCCCCGCGGATTCGCGAGGCGCGAGGCGCGCCGACGACGGACGCTCAGAGCTCCTCGCCGAACATGTCGTGCTCGCTCTCTCTCTCGTGGGGCAGGCCGTTCAGGTTGATGTCCTGGGCGTGGTGGATGACGTAGACGAGGGTGCAGACGCCGACGACGATGGCGAGGCTCTTGAGGATGGACGTCGTCGCCGAATCGCGCTGGCGCAGCGCCCGCTGCAGCTTGCGGTCCCGGTGCGCGTTCTTGTGCGCCGTGATGCGCTGGTGCAGCATCGAGGGCATGGCGCGGCGCGTCGGCGCGGGCGGCACGGCGCGTCGAGGAGGGCTGCCCCGATGGCAGCATATTCTACAGTTGAAAACCTCAACACCACGTGCTCCAGGTTTGTGGCAAGCATCTGATCTGCGGAGCTCGAAGCGCACGAAGCTGGCAGCGTGAAGAACTGTGTGCAACCAGATGTGCGAGGGCGCGGGCGTCGAGGCGACGCTCCACGCGCTCTTCCTCGCGGCCTGCCTCGGCGTCGTCGTCGAGTACCGCCTGCGCGAGCCCCAGCCGGACCGGGGCGTGAGCGACTGGGCGCTGATCCTGTCGCGCTTCGTCGCGCGGCGGCCGCTGCGCGTCATCGCCGCCGTCGGCGGCTACTGCGCCTTCCTCGGCGTCCTCGCCTTCGTCGACGTCGAGTGCGGCGGCTGGCGGCCCCTGCGGCTCGTGACGGATCTGGCCGCGTACGCGAGGCAGGACGACGTCGCGTCCTACAATCTCGCGAACCTCGAGGCCGCGCAGGACGCGTCGGAGGCCCGCGGCGCCTGCTCGGGCTACTCCCGGAGCCGCCAGCGGCACCGCTACCTCGAGGCCGCGGGGCTGAAGCATCGTCGGCTGTCCTCGTCGGGCGTCGTCGAGGACTTGAAACTTTTCTACGCGGCGCGGCCCCGGCCGGGCAACGTCATCGTCGACAAGTCCATCATCGACGCGCGGAACCTCGAGCGCAAGATCGTGTCCCACAACAAGTTCGACGACCACTGCTGGACGACGTATCGGAGCAGCGGGCCGGACCGCTACTGCGCCGACGCCGCGGTGCGCTCCGCCGCGGACCCCTACTTCGACGACGAGGGCGCTTTGCTCGATGTCGCTACGGTGACGGCGGAGCTCGCGCGGTCGGATCTAGGCGCCCACTTCTTCGACGTCAACTTCGGCCTCTTCCACCAGGCGTCGAACGTGTCGAAGACGGAGATGTACTTTTCGATCACGGACCGCGACGACTTCCGCCGCTGGGCCGAGAAGTACCTTTTGGAGACGCTGGAGGCGGCGTCGACGAAGGACACGCGCGTCTGCTGGCTGAACCACGACATCAACGACTACGAGGTCGAGGTCGCCGTCTGGCACGACGGCGTCCTCGCGATCGCCGCTCTGGCCTTCGTCTACGTGGCCATGGTCGTGCACACGCGGTCGCCCTTCCTCGCGACGGTGGCCATGGGCCAGATCCTCATCTCCGTGCCCGTGGGGCTGTACCTCCACCGGGCCGTCTTCGGCTTCGAGGTCACGTACGTGCTCAACTTCCTCGGGCTCTTCATCATCGCGGGCATCGGCTGCGACGACAGCTTCCTCATCTTCGACGTCTTCAAGCACGAGCTCGACCGGGGCGTCGCGCGGTCCCTGCCGGAGCTCCTCGCGGAGACGTACCGCAAGGCCGGCGCGTCCATGGCCATCACGTCGCTGAGCTCGGCCGCGTCGTTCTTCGCGAACGCCGTTTCCACGCTGCCCGCGATCCGGTCCTTCGGCGTCTTCTGCGGCACGCTGATCCTGGTGAACTGGGCGCTGGACGTGACGGTCTTCCCCGCGTGTCTGGTGTTGCGGAGCCGGTTCCTCGAGTCGTCGCCGGCGGCGGTGGTCGTCGAGGGCCAGGACGACGTCGCGGTCGCGTCGTCCGTGGAGCTCGTGACCCGTGACTCCGGCGAGGCGGATCTGGTGGCCGAGGACGTGCGGCCCGACGACGAGAACCCGCTCTGGCCCGCGCCGGGCGCCTGGGGCCGCGTGTCCGTCGTGGTGGCGACGCCCTACGATTTGGGCGAGGCCTTCGCGAAGTTCAAGAGCTGGGCCGCCGTGGACCAGTGCTTCGGCAAGACCCTGCCCCGGTCCGTGCGCCGCTTCCACCGGCCCATCCTCGTACTGTGCGCGGGGTTGTTGGCGCTCGCGGCGACGGGCGCGGTCCTCAAGACGGAGGCGGACGACGAGCCGCCGCGCTTCTTCCTCAAGAGCCACAACCTGGGTCTGGTCTACGACCTCGAGGACGACTACTTCGCGTCGACGACGCGCAGCGCGTCCTTCTCGAAGCGCGGCACCGCGGACGTCGACGTCGAGGCGCCGACGCCCGCGCCGAGCGCGCCCGCGCCGACGCCGGCCCCGGCGCCCGCGCCGACGCCGGCGCCGAGCGCCCGGCCGACCACGGCGGAGCCGACGCGACTCCCCGCGCCCGCGCCGACGCACGGGCCGACGCTGTCGCGCGCGCCCGCGGGCACCGGCCACCCGACGAAGACGCCCACGGTCGCGCCGTCGGCCGCGCCCGACCCCACCCCGGCCCCGACGCGCTCCCTCCCGCCGCCGAGCCCGGCGCCCGTCGTGCGCACGCCCGCGCCCGTCGCCACGCCGGCGCCCACGGCCTGCGACGCGGACGCCGTCTGCGGCGGCCGCGGCGACTGCGAGGCCGTCGCGGGTCTGGCGGACGGCGCGCGCCTCTGCCACTGCTACGCGGGCTTCTACGGTCCCACCTGCCAGTTCGACGAGGCCCGGGAGCTCGACGCGTCGGCCATGCTCAGCCTGGACGTGGCCTACGGCCTCGCGAAGCGACCCGGCAAGGCGACGTCGCGGCACCGCGGCGGCAAGCCGAGATACCGGTCCTTCGACCTCGCGGACCGCGACGTCCAGGCATTCGTGTTGGAGACCTGCCGCCTCGCCAAGGCCACGGACTCGCTGCGGGTCCGCGCGCGGAACACGGTCTGCGTCCTGGAGATCTTCGAGTCCGAGTTCCTCGAGCCGCGGGGGATGGCCCTGCCGCTGTCGCCCCGCGACTTCGAGCGCCACCTCAACACCTTCGCCAAGAGCCGCGTCCTCTTGGACGGCGCGTCCATCGACCACTGGGTCGGCTTCGACTGCGACACGGGCGACGTCCTGTGTGCAAATCAACCAGTGAGCTGGGACGTCGGGGCCAAACTTGAGAATTCTCTAGCTCGGTCAAATCGAAGTCGATTCGGCTGATTTTTGGACGAATCGATTGCTCTCAGCGAGTTCTCGAAGCACGGCGGAAGTGCTCGTGTCAAAGCATTCGAATACGCGCACATTGAAGTCGGGTTGAAGATTTGATTTGCGCACAGGCGACGTCGCGTGGCTCCGGGACCGTTTCACGCTCGCGGACCGCGAGGACTCGGACGTCGCGGACCGGTCCAAGCTCTTCAAGAAGTGGCGCGACTTCCTCGACGACCGCGGCGACGCGCGGCCCGAGGGCGTGTCGAAGCCGATCATGGCGTCCGAGGACGAGGTCATGACGTCGCTCGAGGCGAACATCGTCCGGAGCTCCGTGATCGCCGCGCTCGTGTCCGTCGCCTGCGCCTTTGGGTGCGTGCTGTTGCTGACGCGGGCTCTGTTCCACACGTGTCTGATCTTGGCGGTGGTGGTCTGGGAGATGGCGCTGCTGACGGCGTTCATGACCGCGGGGCTGAAGTGGTCCATCGGCATCATCGAGGCCATCTCGCTGTCGATCTTTGTCGGCGTTTCTGTGGATTATGTGCTCCATGTAGACCAGGCCTTCCGGTTCCACGCGGCCTTCGCGCATTTGGTCGCGGGCGAGGCCGAGCCGACGCCCGCGGCGCGCCTCGCGCATCTGGCCGCGGCGCTCGCGGAGGTCGGCGCGCCCGTCTTCGCCGCGGCCTTCACGACGTTTGCGTCCGCCGTCTTCCTCCTCTTCTGCCTCATCCTGCCCTTCAAGAAACTGGGCGTCATGATCTGCGCGCACACGGCGCTGTCCGCGGCCGCCGCTTTGATTGTGCTGCCGGCCGTGCTCTTCGTCGTCCCCCAGCGCCGCGTGAGCCCGGCGCGGCCCAACGACAACGGCGGCGCGGCCTTCGAGCTGCCCGTGGTCATGGCCGAGGAGGCGCCGCCGGCGGACGACGCGCCGCCGCCGGACGACGACGCGGCCGCGAAGAAGGTCGCCGACGACGCGGCGCGCGCGGCCGCGGCCGCGGGCGAGGACCCCGACGAGCACAAGAGCTGAGCATCCCCGCCGCCGGTGTGTGTAGAACCCCCTCCAGTTGTGTACACGGTGTTAGATCCCGAAGGACGTCCCGATATGCCGCCGGACGACGACGCGGCCGCGAAGCAGGCCGCCGACGACGCGGCGCGCGCGGCGGCGGCCGCGGGCGATGAGCCCGACGAGCATAAGAGCTGAGCACCCCCCACCTTCGTGTATTTGTACAGGGTGTTAGATCCCGAAGGACGTCCCGCAGCCGCAGGACTCCTCCGCGTTCGGGTTGTTGAACTTGAAGCCGCCGCCGATGAGCTCGTTGGAGTAGCCGAGCTCGAGGCCGAAGAGGTAGAGCATGGACTTGGCGTCGATGACGACCTTGAGGTCGTCCTCCCAGAGCTCCACGTGATCCTCGGGCACGATGTCCTCGGTCTTGCACAGGTCCATGGAGTAGGACAGGCCCGAGCACCTGCGCGCGGAGTATCGTCACGGGGGCGGGAGAGACGTCGTGTCAGCGCGTCCGGCCGCGCGCCGCGGGCGGGAGCGCCGCGCTCTCTCTGAACCCGTCGACGATCGATCGACGGCCGCCGGCGCGCCGCGCGCGCGCGCGCGGGGACGCCGTCGGACGCGCCCGCCGGCGCGCACGCCCATGCGTAGGTGCGTGTCCGGGCCGTTGTCCTCCCGGAGTTTTTTAATGTGCGTGAGCGCGTCGGGCGTGATCGTGATCACGCGCTTCGTCGGCGCCGCCGTCTCGGCCGTACTCCTCAGCGCGACGGGCCTTTTTTTTGTCGACGGTCTTCCCACGAAGGCTGCGGCGCCGCAGAGGGTCAAAAGGAGGGTCGCGGCGCGGCGCATGGTGGATCGCTGGACGGGCCAAAGGAGATTGCCACCCGGCTCCGCCACCTGCGCCAGCCGAGCGCGCTCGAGACCGCGCCTGGGGTAATACGCGCGGGTCTGGGTCGTCGGACGCCGCGACGGTCGCATCCTCGTAGCCCCACGCGGCGTCCGCGAGGCGCCGGGCGCGAGTTTTACGACGTAGCCAGGAGACCGTCGGTGACCGTAGCCGAGCCTGTTTCGACGAAAGTGCCAGTGGAGCTTTTTACCCGATTTTTGCAATTGAAAATCTTCGTGATCGTAGGCAATAACGACGGGCACAAGAGATAACCGGCGGAAGTTTGGAAGTGGGTCAACAGGCCAGGGATAGAGTCGTCCATCACCCGCAGGCCCGCGGCGCCGTCGTCGGGACGCGCCGCGCGCGCGCTACGAGTGCGGCGACGCGCTCGTCCTGAAGTACGAGGACGCGCATTTCCGGAACATGCTCGCGATCTACCGCGGGCGCCCGACGGCACGGAGGTGCTGCCGCATCTTGCGCCGAATCACGACGCGCCCGACGCGGCCGCCTATCTCGCGGCGCTGGCAGGGTCGCCGGCCGCGGCGCCGACGCCCGCGCCGACGCCCGCGACGTCACTGGCACGGCCAAGTGGAACAGCTACGTCAGCGCCGGCAGCGACGTCTGCCCTGCGCCACGCTGCACCTCGTCCAGCAGTTCGACCACGGCAGCGCCTTCGCAAGGAACGCGCGCGAAGCGCGCGCGGCGCGGCCGGGGGTCCTCAGGCTCAAGAAGGGGCCCCTAGGCAACGTTGCGTCTTGCAGACGCGGCCGAGACGCGGGAGACGCGAGTTCCGGGACGCGGCAGGACGCGGCCAAGACGCCCCGGGACGCGGCCGAGACGCGCCGGAGACGCGGGACGCGGCCGGGACGCGAAAAAAAAGACGCCAGAGACCACCCCAGGACCGAACCCACGACCACGAAAGACGACCCCGGGACCGAAGCCAGACCCGCGGGACGCGAGAGACGCGCGAGAGACGCAGCCCAGACGCGGGACGCCGGCCTAGACGCCGGCCAGACGCCGCCAGACGCGGCCGAGACGCCCCAGACGCGGCCAAGACGCGACTTCCGAGACGCGCCGGAGACGCCGGAGGACCTGGCGGAGACTGCCCGGGGACTTAGCGAAAGACGCCCAGACCGCGCGTGGCCTACTCTAGGGGCCCCTTCAAGAATCCACTGATCGGCCACTTCGGTCGGAACCCGAGAATCCACGAAGCTCTCCGTCGCGCGAGAAGCCACCTCGTTAGCTCCGAGCAACACCGATACCATGAACAAGCTCCTCATCGCCCTCGCTATCGCCTCGACCGCCGCGTTCCGCGCGCCGACCTCCGTGGTCAAGCCCTTCCGCCCGGCGGCGGCGGCTTTAGATGTTGAGAGCATCAAGGGCTCCGTGGCGCCGGCGGACCTCGGCGCGACGAACCAGGCGCTCTACTCCTGGGTCGGCGCGGCCGTCGGCGTCGCGGGCCTCGCCAAGCCCGCGTGGCTCGCGGAGCAGACCCTCGGCATCGCGACGAACGGCGCGACCGACGTGATCATCCGCGGCTCGGCGATGGCCGCGCTGCTCCTCGGCGCGCGCGCGGGCCAGGAGTCCGAGGCCAACGCGGCCAAGACGGCCCTGCTCTGGTTCGGCGGCTGGTGGTACTTCCTGCGGGGCTCCACGGGCGTCGCGGGCCGCACGGCCGCCGCGTGCGGCTTGATCGCGCTGAGCGCCGCGCGGCGCTCGGGCGGCCTCTGGAAGTTCGCCACGTCCCTCGACACGGACGGCCTCTCGTCCATCCTGCCCAAGAACCGCGACGTGACCATGCAGAACATCGTCGGCATGCAGATGATGGGCTGGGGCTTCGCGCTCTGGTTCGCGCCGCAGCTCGTCACGGACTCCATCATGGGCGAGAAGGCCGCGGTCGCCGCCATCGCGCTCAAGGGCCTCGCCGTCAACAACCTCGTCCTCGGCGGCAAGGTCATGGCCGGCACGGAGGACTCCGCGCGCACGAACGGCCTCATCTTCTTCGGCGCGTGGACCGCGCTCTCGATCCTCGCGAAGAACGCGGGCATCGCCTCGGGCCAGTACCTCGTGCCCGTCATCGCCTGGAACGCCGCCTGCGCGGCCTACACGGTCGTCTCCTAGAGCGAGAAAAACCGCGAGAAGCCCCCGCGCGCCGACCCGAGGCTCCCGGCCCGCCGCGCCGCGCGCGCCCCTTCCGGGGCGCGCGCGGCGCCTCGGCGGGGCCGCGTCGCAGCCCCGGCGCGCCCGCCCCTGTTCCTCCCCAAGTATCGTAGTTGAGCACGCCTGACCCCGGGGGACCCGTGGTGCTTCAACACTCCGATCGTGAAGTCGACGTTGCCGAGCGCGCGCTGCCCGGCGCGTCTGGGGGGCAGCGCCGGTGGCCGCCGCCCGCGCCGCCGCCACCATGCACCGCGTGGCGTCGATCCGCAAGTCGGCGACGAAGATCAAGGAGGCGCCGAAGAAGCGCAAGAAGAAGCAGATCAGCGAGGAGGTGGCCCTCAAATTACAGCAGAAGTTGAAGGCCGCCTGCCTCAACGACTCGCCCCAGAAGTTCTTCCGCAAGTTCGACAAGGACAAGAGCGGCGACATGGACGCCGCGGAGCTCACGCGCATGATCCGCGTGAGTCTAAAGTTGGGCAAGGACCAGCTCACGGACAACGAAATCAAAGCGCTCATCGACGCGCTCGACGACGACGGCTCCGGGTCTTTAAGCCTCGAGGAGCTCGGCGACTTCGTCGAGCGCGGCAGCAAGACCTTCTACAGCGACGCCAAGGCCGGCGACGACGGCGAGAAGGTCGCCAAGTGGGGCGCCAAGGCCGAGGAGCCCGAGGAGCTGAAGAAACTGAAACGCGCCAAGAAGAAGAGCCGCAAGAAGCGGCCGAGCTTCAACGAGGCCGTCATGCACCGCTTCCAGATGAAGCTCCAGGCCGCCGTCTTCGGCGCGTCGCCCGCCGAGTTCTTCGCCAAGTTCGACGTGGGCGGCGACGGCACGCTCGACGCGGCCGAATTAAAAACGATGATCCGCAAGAGCCTGCGCATCCCCGGCTCGGAGCTCAGCGACGGCGACATCGACGCCTTCGTCAAGGCCGTCGACGACGACGGCACGGGCTCCCTGAGCCTCGCGGAGCTCGGCGACTTCGTCGAGCACGGCGCGACGCGGGGCGGGAAACGGGCGCGACGTTCCCGAAGGCTCCTCTCTCGGCCGTGTTCCACTCGTTTCGGCTGATGTTTGGACGAGCGGTATCCCTCGGAGCGGTCTCGATGCTTTTCTTGAAACGCGCGCGCGCGGAACACCCACATGGAAGCGACGTTGCATCGCCCCGTTCCCGCCCAGGCACGAAGACGTTCTTCGCCGACGCCGCGACGGCCGAGGCGCTGAGCCAGGCGACGTCCGACGACTCGTCCGTGGGCTCGCGGAGCACGGTCAAGTCCCTGAAGTGGGGCGAGCGCGCCGAGGAGGCCGAGGCGGCCAAGGAGGCGCGGAAGACGCGGCTCGCGAAGAAACGAAGGCCCGACTTCGACCCCGAGGTCATGCGGAAGCTCCAGGGCCGCCTCCAGGCCGCGACCTTCGGCAAGGAGCCCCTCGAGGTTTTTAAAGCGTTTGACAAGAGCGGCGACAACGTGCTGGATTTAGCGGAGCTCACGCGGATGATCCGCGTCGAGTTAAGAATTTCCGGCGACGAGATCCCCGACGACGTCATCGCCGCGTTCGTCCGCGCCGTCGACGACGACGGCGACGCGACCGTGTCCCTCGAGGAGCTCGCGGACTTCGTGCAGTACGGCATGGCGACGTTCTACGCGGACCACGCGCAGTCCGCGGAGAACGCGCCACAGCGCGCCAGGGGCAAATCCATGGCCTGGGGCGAGCGCGCGCCCGAGGCGCAGGCCGCCGTCGACGCGCGCAACGCGCGGCGCAAGAAGCGGCTCCGGCCCGACTTCGACGCCGCGGTCATGAAGAAGCTCCAGATGCGATTGAAGGAGGCGTGCCGGGGCTTCGACGACGTTAGGGAGGGGCTCAAAGCCTTCGACAAGAGCGGCGACGGCCAGCTCGACGGCGACGAGCTGAAGCGCATGATCCGCGTGGACCTGCGCATCACGGACGCGGACCTCAAGGACTCGGACGTCGCCGCGTTCTTGCGGGTCGTCGACGAGGACGGCTCCGGCTTCGTCTCCGTCGACGAACTCGCGGACTTCGTCGTCCACGGCATCGCCCACTTCTACAACGACGAGGCGCTCGACGGCAAGAATCTGGCGCTGCCGCTCCCCGCGGGCTGCGACCCGGAGGCGCTCGGGCGCATCATCGGGAGCCTCCAGTCGCGGCTCAAGGGCCGGCCGACGCGGCCCGCGTTCAAGGCGGTCGACGGCGACGGCGACGGCCGCGTGCCCGAGGCCGACTTCGTCGGCGCGCTCCGCGGGGATCTGCTCAACCTCAGCGAGGACGACCTCGACGCCGACGACGTCGGCTTCCTCGTGAAGATCGTCGTCGCGGACGACGGCTCCCAGGTCGACGTCCGCAAGCTCGCGGCGCTGTTGAAGCGCGGCGCGGCGCTCTTCCCGAAGATGGCCGCGGCCGATCGAAAGCTCGTCGCCGACTTCACGAAGATCTACCGGCTGCGCGTCGAGCGCGCGACTTCCGCGCGCGTCCTCGCGGATTTCGAGGCGAAGCAGCCGAAGCGCGACCCGAACCTCGACGTGCCCAAGCTCGGCAGGCGCCTCGCGCCGTTCCACACCCAGTTGTTCGCCTGGCTCGACGACGTCAAGGCGTCCCCGCTGAAGCCGCGCACGGCGAAGAACATCCACGACTTCGACCAGGCCAAGGGCGCCGTCGGCGGCGGGTCGCTCCGGCACCGCGGCCGCCTGTGTGGAATTCAAATCTTCAACCCGACTTCAATGTGAGCGTACGCGAATGTTTCGACGCAAGCTCTTCGACTGTGCTTCGAGAACTCGACGAGAGCAATCGATTCGTCCAAAAATCAGCCGAATCGATTTCGATGTGACCGAGCTAGAGAATTCTCAAGTTTGGTCAGGACCACCCAAACCAGCGGTTGAATTCGGCACAGGCGGCCACGCGATCATGGTCAAGGAGGACCTGGGCCCGTCGAACGTGCAGCCGCTCCGGGAGCTGCGCTACGCGCTCAAGTACCACGAGGACCTCGGCTCGAACGTCGCCGCGGGCGCGACCTTGCTCAAGATGGGCCGCGCGCTCCGGCGCGCGCCGCTCCACCGCGACCACCCGGTCGGGCCGCACCGCGCGCTCGAGCTCAAGTGCGCGGGCGAGGCCTGCGGCGCCGCCGCGCGCTGCTTCGAGAAGGAGCTCGAGAGCGGCCACCCGACCTACGCGCGCGCGGCGCTCGAGGCCGGCGACGCGCTCCTCGCGGCCGAGGACGAGTGGGTCCGCGCGCACGGTTTGGGGGTCGGGGACGACCTCGACGACGCCGCGGAGGCGGAGCGCGTGTCCATGCTCCAGCTCGCGCAGCGCGTGCTGTCCAACTGCCGCGCGGCCCAGGCCGCCGTCAGGGCAGGAAAAGAGAGCGAAATTCCCAACTTCAAAGGCTCCTATCTCGGCCGTTTTCCACTCGTTTCGGCTGATTTTTGGACGAGCGATCATCTCTCGGAGCGGCCTCGAAGCGTGAATGCTTTTCCCGGAACGCGCGCGCGCGGAACACTCACGTTGAAGCGACGTTGAATCACCCTTTTGCTGCCCAGGCCGCCGTCAACGTCAAGTCCATGGCGCCCCGGGAGCTCGTCGAGTTCTCGAAGACGCAGTGCCTGCTGGCGGTGGTCTTCGCGCGGCAGAAGGTGCCCTCCAAGGCCGAGGAGCACTTCGACAAGTCGCTCAAGCTCTTCTCCCGCCTCAAGCTCAGCCAGCGGAACGCCGTCGCGGAGGACGAGGCCGACTGGCACGGCCACCGGGCCCGCGCGGCCTTCCGCGACGGCGACTTCCCATTGGCGAAGACGCACATCAAGGAGCGCGAGGCCCTGCTCGCGAGCGCCGTCGGCGGCGACGACCCGCGGCTCGTGGAGACGCGCCGCGTGCGCATCCTCTGGGCCCACGAGCTCGGCGCGGGCGCGGGGCCCGCGGGCGAGACGGCCGTTAACTCGTAAGGTTACGCGGCGCTGCGCCCGCGCGTGTCGAGGCCCCGGCCGGTGTTTACGAAGACCCTAGTCGAAGTCGTACTTCGTCTGGTCGGCCTTGGCCTTGAAGAAGTCGCCCCGGCGGACGCGGTCGAGCGTGCGCTCGCGGCGCGCGGCCGCGGCGCGGCGGTCGTCCGCCGCGGCCGCGGCGCCGGCCCACGTCGCCTGGAGGCCCGCGGCGTCGTGGAAGCGCGCGCCGACGACGTCGCTCCGCGGCAGGAGCCGGCCCGGGTTGGGCCGCGCGCGGAGCTCCGCCATGTCGGCGGTCCGCGCGACGCGCGCCTGTGTGGAATTCAAATTTTCAACCCGACTTCAATATGAGCGTATGCGGCCGTTTCGACGCGAGCTCTTCTGCCGAGCTTCGAGAACTCGACGAGAGCAATCGATTCGTCCAAAAATCAGCCGAATCGACTTCGATTTGATCGAGCTAAAGAATTCTGAAGTTTGGTCAGGACCACCCAAACCAGTGGTTGAATTCCACACAGACGCGCGCGCCCACGGCGCCGAGGAGCGCGTCCTCGGCGCCGCGCTCGACGAACTTGTGGGCCCGCGCCTGGAGGTCCGCGTGGTCCGCGAGCTTGGGCAGCAGGGACACGTGCGCCGTCGCCGGTAGCGCGTCCGTCGACAGCGACGCGAGGATTTGTTTCGCCTTGTCGCGCGTGCGCCGCTCGCGGCCGCTCTCCGCGGCGCCGGCGCGGCCCCGGTGGCGCGCGGCCATGGCCTTCGTCGACGGCCGGGGCCGCGACACCACCAGCTTCTTCGGCGGCCGCCGCGCGGGGAGCGGCGCGGGCCGGAGGCTGAGGGGCTCGCGGCGCTTCCGCGTTTCCGCGGCGCCCCCGCGGGGCAGCGCCGACAGGAGCCGGTCGACCACAAACGAGTCGGCCGTCGACGCGTTCGACGACGCGCGGCTCCGCGAGCTCGCGCGGCTCGACCCGCGCGTCGACCCGCGCGTCGACAGCGACCCGCGGCTGGACCGCGACGCGCGGCTCGACCCCCGCGTGCCCAGCGCCGCGCGGCCGAAGGCGCGCGACCGCCGCTTCCGCGCGCGCTTCTTCTTCGGCGACGGCGGCTTGTGGAACGGCAGGTACGCGCGGCGGTCGCTCGTCTCGGGCACGAAGGCCCTCGGCTTCGCCGCGGGCACCTTGGCCCTGGTGAGGCGGAGCAGGAGGAGGCGCCGCTCCATGGCCTTCTGGTCCGCGGACCCGCCGCCCCCGAAGCCCTCGAGCTTCTCCCGGTGCTCGACGTCGTCGGCCTCGGCGCCCCAGAGCGCCTCGAGCGCCGGCGCGATGGCCTCGAGGCTCTCCGCCGACTCCTCGCCGAGCGCCGCGAGGCACGCGACCGTCGCGCCCCCGGGCGCGCCGCCGAGGTCGCCGGCCGTCGCCGCGGCGACGAGGAGCCGCGTCGCCGCGGCGCCGTAGACGGCGCGCCGCTTCGCGAACCACGTCGCGACCTCGACGCCTGTGCCGAATTAAAATCTTCAACTCGACTTCAATGTGAGCGTACGCGACAGTTTCGACGCGACCTCTTCGGCCGTGCTTCGAGAACTCGACAAGAGCAATCGATCCGTCCAAAAATCAGTCGAATCGACTTCGATTTGACCGAGCTAGAGAATTCTGAAGTTTGGTCAGGACCACCCAAACCAGCGGTTGAATTCGGCACGGCTCGACGCCCCTGACGAGGTCGCCGCGCCAGTAGACCCGGGGGTCGAGGGGCCCGAGCGCGGCGAGCGCGGCGGCGGCGACGCCGCCGCGGCGGTCGTGCCAGGCGACGAGGCACGTGCCCACGTAGTCGCCGAGCGCCGCGGCCGCGCCCGCGGCGCGGAGGCGCCGCCGGAGGAGGCGCCGCGCGGCGCCGTGCGCCGCGCGGCGCGCGCCGTGGCGGTCGCGGGCGCCGTCGTCGCCGTCGTCGCCGCGCGGCGGCGCGGGGCCGTCGAAGGGCGACGGCCGGTCCGCGAGGGGCAGCAGCTTCGCCAACGCGACGACGCCGAGCTCGCCGTCGTCCTCGGCGAGCGTGCGGCAGTCGGCGACGCCGTGGCGGAAGGCGTCGAGGCCGACGCCGTCGGTCGCCGCGCCCGCCGCGAGGCCCACGGCCGCCGCCGCGGCGACGAGCTCCGCGGTCTCGAAGGCGCCGTCCCGAAGCGCCGCGTCGCCGTCCTCGTCGAGGTCCGCCGGGCGGACGACGTCGAGGCCCCGCGCCGCCGCGCCCGCGCCCGGCGCCGGCAGGAGATTCGCGACGCACGCGAGGGCCGCGCGCCTCACGCCGGCCGTCGACGGGAACGCGCCCGCGAGGCCGACGGCCGCGGCCGCGGCGCCGCGCGTGGCCAGGAGCGCGCGCGCGGACGGCGACGCGGCCGCGACGGCCGCCGCGGCCTTGAGGGCCCACATGGCCGCCCAGGGCTTCGCGTCCGCGCGCGGCCGGCCGTCGCCCGCGGCGTCCGACGGCGCCAGGGCGTCGAGGAGGAGCGCGGGCGCGCCCGCGGCGACGAGGTCGTCGACGGCGCGCGCGTCCGCGGCGTCGCGGAGCGCCTCGAAGAGCTCCGCGAGCTCCGCCGCCGTCGCCGCGCGGCGGAGGCGGCCGCACGCGGCCCAGGCGGGGGAGCTCTCCGCGCCGTCGACGTCGTCCGCGAGGGCCTCGAGCGCCGCCCGGTCGCGCCGCGGGCCGCGGCGCGCGAGGGCCCGGGCGACGGCGACGCCGCGCGCGAGCACGTGCCCCGCGGCGCGCGCGTCGCCGCCGCCGGAACCGGGCGCCGCGAGCGCGGCCGCGGCGACCTGCGCGGCCGCGAGGAGCGCGTGCCCGACCGACTGGACGACGCGCCCGCCCAGCGCGTCCGTGCCGACGGGCAGGGCCGCGCGGAGCACGCCGAGCGCGTCCGCGGCGAGGCCCGGGCGCGCGA